GCTTTTCTTTTTGACGTTTTTATCGTAAAAGTTGTTTTTTTTATATTTTGATGGTTCTAACTAGAAAAGTTGAAAGAATTTTTTATGGTAAATGTATTATAAAAAATTGAAAAGAACTTATAATAAAAGACTGATATGAATAAAAAAAGACATGGAAGAAGACACATATTACTCAAACACAGAAGAAATTGAAGAAGGGTTGACTGAAGAAGAAACCAATTACGAACAAATAACAGAAATGATAAAAGAGGCAAGTCAGTGTTTAAATACAATTCAGAATGAGAGAGAAGCAGCAAGAAAAAAAGCAATTGAAAAAGTTCAAATTATGAATGAATTAACAGACAAAATAAAGAAAAGTATAGAGAGACAGGGGGAAATTACAGACAAGTTAATTCAAGAAAAGAATGAACACGCTAAAATTCTTGCAGAATTACAAAAACATGTTAGCAAAAACACAGGAATTCATTGCACTATTGAAATTAATAATGGAGAAATTGTGTTAACACGAGCAAAAGACAGTGTTGCTATTGAAAGAGATGCACTGTTTGAAAAAACTATACAGCTACAACACGTTATTGAAGAAATGAAAAGTAAACGTGATAAAAACGAACAAAAAATTGAAGAGAGTCAAAGAAATACTTATGCACTTTCAGAAGAAATAAGATCAAAATCATTTTCCCAACAACCAACAGAAAATGAATTAGGCGTTGAACAAATTGTTAAAGCCTTTGAAAAGAGTAAAGTTGGAACAAAACAATTATTAAATTTTATAAAAATTTGTGAAAATAAACCAGTTTGTTTTGACTTATTGTTTTCATTTATGACAGACTATATTTACTTTCTTAGAGTCCTATCAGAAATAGACAAATTCTTTCAAAGTCCAAAACAATATCAAGAATAGAAACCAATAATTATAAAAATAATTCAACTGATATTCATTTAAATAAACAACTTCAACAAAATCTAGTTACAAAGGAGATGAAACAAAATAAAAACTTAAAAGTTAGATGGGGCTTAATGACTTTTCTATGTATTAGTAGTATTTTAGTTATTTTGTTTGGTATTCTTGTAATTATAGTTGAATGAATTTTAATTGATTATAATTGGAAAGAATTAAATCAAATTATTTAACCAAACAAATAATTACATCGAATCAAAATGTTTTTAGAATGAATTGGAGAGTATCTATTCTAATAAAAGAAAAATCTAAGTTCTGGAAATGGCTTATAAATTCTGGTTGTAAATTTTGGAAAGGATAAGTATTTGTTAATGACATGTTGTCTGATTCTTTAAAATGTATTGCCTTATCAAATTGTTCAAGAGAATCCCTAAAAAATTGAATAAAAATACTACTGATTATATAATGATAAGGAGTAAGTATAATCGATCTTTGTGGAGGTGAAGTAAGTACAATTCTAGTAATTAGATTATTAATATGTTTACCAATTTTCAAAATATCTTGTTGATTCAAATGAACTGGTTTTATAAACATATTTAATGTGAAAGAAACAATAAAAGATATTTCATTTTTTAAAAGAGTACCACTTAGTCTTGGTTTAACCAACTCCATTACTAACTTTTCATTTGACATTAATTTCATCATAAATTCCATTGTAAGAATATTTCTCTTTCTTTGTTTATAATCACTTCTTTTTGTTTCAGTTTCTTTTGCTGTTTCAGTGTCCTTCATTGACTTAGCAATAAACTCATTTAATCCACATGAAACTAACTGATTGTTTTCTGATTTTTTTATAGAGAGAATGTCAAGCATTGGAAACTTCTTTTTTCTCTTTATTTCTTTATTAATTTCAATCTCATAATCATTTATTATCAATAGTCCTATCAAAATAGCTTGTTGACATGCCTCATATGTTTTAAATGATTTTTTTGATTCCTCCCATTCGTATTTTATTTCTTCTTGTTTTTTAACATCATTTGTACGGACATGACCAAGTAATGTACATGTTTGAATTGCATTATCAGAAAATGAAGTTGTAGATGGTCTAGTTTTGGTTGTATCTGTTCTTAATCTAAGAGTAGATGTTAATGAAGAGCTACTATTAAAAGAAGGTAATGAAGGTCGTGTATTAAATTTTGAAGGTTTAATTTCATCTTTTAGTATCTGATCCTTCTTTTTAGGTATTGTCTTTACACGTAAATTGACATTACAACACTCTTCATATCTCTTATCACTTGGTCGTTGTTCTTTTGAATATAGGTTATAATTATAATTTTCAATTGAAGTTCGAATAGGGTGTGTTGGGAATATTAATGGAGTGTTAAATTCTTTTGTCATTGACAATAACTATTTTATAGATGATAGGGTTGTCTTTTCTTCTATCAATATTTCCATAGATAACCCTTTGATATCCTCCTTTATTAACTTTTTTCAAATTGATGAATAGAACTAGTAATCATTTTAAGTTCTCTCTTTTTGTACAAAATAAATTCATTAATCGAACTTAAAAAAATACAAATGAAAAAAGTTATAATTCACATATCAGATGCAAAGAAAAAAAAGATGGGGTGGAATGAAAACAATATTTCTTTTTGTTATAAAAATAAAATCATCAACGTTTATTGTGGAAGTGATTTGACACAACCTTTTGATATTTTATTACCAAAAATAATCAATGACCAAGATTGTAAAAGAATCTTAGATTCAATAAAAAATAATCCAGATGCACTGGTTGTAGACCCAATTCAAAACCAACAAATAATTCAATCAAGAAAATTAACCTATGAAAGACTTACTCAATATGGAATTGACTGCCCACAATTTATTGTTATTCAATCTCATCAAGAAATGATGATATTTCTCAATAAACATCAAAACATTCATCTTCCAGTTATTACAAAACCAATCCCATCTCAAGGAAGTCATGAATCACATGAAATGACAATTATTAATCATCCAAATGGATTTAATTATGTTAAATATCCATGTGTTATTCAAGAATATATAAATCATAATGGACAATTAACTAAAGTATTTTGTATAGGGAAGAAGGTTATTTCATCCACTATTCAAGAGTCAATGGGAAATATTGATAGTAGTTGCAAATTGGAGTATTTCAGTTTTAATAATGAAGACCCTGAATCAAAGAAAAAGTACTTTTTAACGTCAAGCCAAATGAAACCTTTTACACCTATGGAATTACAAAATTATTGTGATTTATTGTCTAAAGCATTTAATATAACTTTATTTGGATTTGATATCATTAGAGAGAATGGAACAGGAAAGCCATATATAATAGACATTAATCATTTTCCTTCGTACAACAAATCATTTTCACTCCAAAGTTTTACAGAAGAGTTACTTAATGAATGTGGTGTTTAGTTTTGGTTTAATACACCTTCATTTGTTTTTTTTTTAATTAAATATTTTTTTCTTTTTTTATCTCAAAACTAATTAATGTTACTCATTGAATGCAGCAACAAACTAATTCAGCAACATTTTTTGAAGGTATTCTAAACTCATTACAATTGTCAAATTGTGATAAATTACAAACATTAATTAGATTAAATAATTCATTAACTTCAATCGAAACAATTTCTCCTCCTTCTTTTATTATTTTAACTAAGTTACTAGAATGGCTACAAAGGTCATTAGAGAGAAGATTACCATCAACACAGTATGTAATAATTACATACTCTTTAATATTTAAAATAATTCGTTTATTATTAAATGATAAAAGTATACAAAAACCGAATGTATCTGCTTTAATAAGAGCATGTGTTGAATCAATGTCACATTATTCTGTATTATCACTAAATATTTCTCTTTTTTCACATTCACTTCAACTTATATCTAAACTCATTCGATTCTACCCTCAATTATTTAACCTATTCTATAGTTCATTTAGGGATTTATGTATTCAACCATACATTGGAAGGTTTACTCCAATTCAATTGGAAAATGTATCAATATTAGTAGAGTTCCATGTCAGTAAAATTGTTGAAATTGCTATTGAACATAATGCAACAGCAAGCATACCAATGCTTTATCCTGTTACATCATTGTTTAATGTCCATTCAGAGCCACCACCAAGTAATTGTCGAGTAGTAAAAAAGATTGTTGATCGATATCCTGGAATTGAACGTTTAAGTGGAGATCAATTAGCAGAAATTCTCATTAATATAATTGAACGTCCAGTTCCAGACTTTCCATATCGATATAATATGCCACCAATAATGATGTCACACTTTTATTCAATTTGGATTGCTTTTATAAATAAAATGGAAGAAGGTATGATAGAAGAAGATAGAGAGAATGATAGATTTCAAGATAAAGAAAAAGAAGTAGTAACTAATAGACTAATTAGTATGGAAGAAATCAAACTTGAAGAACAAGAAGAAGTTGAAGTTGTTAATACTAATTTAATTGATCTTCAAAGAGATGATACACTTGTAACAGTAGTTGAATTTGCGACAGACTCAGTAGTTCGACTTTGTCATAACTATGAACAAAGTTGTCATCCTGATGAAAAAAGACTTTGTGAAAAGGTAGTTTCAGATATATTGTTAATGTTAATAAAAGAAGTTGATTTAGAAACTATACGTTTAGAAGATAAAACACTCGTAGACTATTTGATTTATTTTACTACAAAGGACAATTGTAAAAATATAAAATTAATCATATTTCTTATGTTTGAGTTATATCTTAGAAAGTATAATGAATTGTATTTATCAATTTTCAAAAAGGTATTATTTGAATTAATTCATCCACCACAACCAGGACTTATTACATTTTTTAATCAAATTCCCCTTATTCCACGTGACATGGAAGAAATAGATAATATCCTTTCATTATTAAGAATTGAAAAACACATGGAAGAAGAAGAAACAAATAATATTTCACAAAACAATCAAATAAATGAACAAAATAAAAAAGAAGAAGAAAGTCTTAAGAAAGAAGAAAAGAAAAAAATAGAAATAATTATTTCAGATAATGAAGAAAATAATGAAATTGTAAAGAAAGTTGTTGATTTTACAATTAGAATTATCAAACAAACACCACAAAGTTATATTGTTTTATTACCATTATTAACAAAACATTTATATTGTTATCCAATTGATTTACAAATTAATGTTATTACTCGAATTTGTACTGAAATTTACCCATTTATACCTGGAGGATTTCGTAATGGAATTGTTCCTATTTTAAAATTAATTTGTGAATCAAATGAATATGAATATACAATGGCTATTGTACGTTTATTATATGCAATGTGTTTATATCAAAATGATTTATTAATTGAAATAATTAAACAATTACAAGATATAATTGTTACTGATACATTTATTGATGCATTCTTTGGTAATTTGACATCTCTATTAAAACCATTAGTATATATTATATTTGAAGAACAAAATTTTATTCAATATGTTCATTTTATTTCAACTAATGACAATAAATTAAATCAATATAAAATTACATTACTTGAAAATATTTGTGATTTTTATCTTCCATCTCTTCCTGATCATCAATGTTCAGTTAGAGTACAAACATTAGTAAATGTTATATTGTCATATTTTTTAAAAGAACCAATGAAATATTCTCAATTTGTTGTTAGTATTCTTCCAGTACTTAATCCTCCTTATTTTAAACAAATATTTTCATGGTTAATTAGCAATTTAGAATCTCAACCAAAATATATTGAAATTATATTTGATCGTATAATTTCAAGTAGAGCTTCTCGTTATAAATTTGAAGATATCATTATTAATTTAATGGACTATAAAACAAGTCATCTAGTTGAATATGTAGAACTTCTTTGTTCTGTTGTTAAGAACCATCCAAATACTTCATTAAGAACAAAAATTAATTTTATGCAATCTATGGATATTCTTATTTCAAAAAAGACAGATACTTCTACTTGTCTTCTTTGTCTTGTTAATATAATTAAATTATCTACTGGAATTAAATACATTACACTTATTGATAAATTACTTAGAGTTATTAAAACAAGTGAAATTACTGATACAATATTACCAGTGTTTGTTGAATTAATTGAATTAACGATTCCTTCAGGAATTCATTTATTAATGTTATTATCAGAAGAAAGGATTAGAGGTGTTATGAATGAACATCCAAAGATTGTTCAAATTATTAGAGAACTTCCACGACAAGACTATGATAAATTAGATAAGACTGTCAGAAAAGTTATAGAATCTTTAATCAAAACAAATTGATTTTAATTTTTTTTTGTTTATTACTTTTTTTTAGTA